TTGTACACAATGACCTCTTAAATACGAATAAATTTTGAAGATGAAACAAAAAAGAAAATCATTTGAAATGAACAAGTAAAACAGAGTGAAAAAAACAGGTTTGTGTTTTTTTTTTTGTCCAACATTTCATACGGTACGGTTATTGTTTTTGTTACTTTTTTTCTTCTTCTTATTTTGTTTTTTTCAAATAGAATTAATTTATAATTTGTCCAAGACTCTTCTTGAATTTCATATTGAAAACGAAAATGCGAAATTTTTTCATATCAAAATTTTATTCATATTTCATTTTTATTAAAACTGTAAAAATAATAAAAAAACTAATCTGATGGGGTCAGTATATAACTGATAGCATTGTCGAAAAATGTAAATTTTGGTTTTTAGTAGAGATTCATTTTCGGTGATATTATTTCTCTTCAAATTCTCCCACAATCAGAACTTAAATTTTAAGAAAATTCCGTCTATTTAATCTTGGAATATGGTCAAATTTGTAAAATCGGCCTTTAGTTAAAGTTCTGTTTTCGAGCCCTTATATTTATTTATTCTATGTATATATAAGCAAAAATATGAATCCGTAGTAAAAGTTCACTTCACACATGATTTCCTTAAAATATAAAGTAACTAAGTTCTATTGACAGGTAAAGCTTATACATAAAATTCAGGAAAATCTGCTAATTATTTTCTTTCTTATATTAATTACTATATTCAAAACGTAAAATCACCCCATAGTAATCTATTTCCAGAGACCTCAACATGTACATCAAAAGTTGATCAAACTATCGAATCCGCAAAGTAAATTCATATATAAAATTTCATCAAAATCGTTTAAGTCAAATTTGAGATACTTATCTGCCTAGGCAGACAGACAGACAGACAGAGAGACATACCGGCAGACATCTCTTTAAAAATAATTTATTTACACTTCCCTATCATGGAGAAATGCGTTTCCACAGAAAGCTCGACATGTGAAATTTAGTGCGATTACGTTAGCTCCCTTTGTATGCAATGCGATTATATTTTAATATGCGGATATATTTTGAAATGTTTGACATTAACTAAATTTACTTTACATACGTCATAATGACAACTTAAAATTTGATATGAAAACAATACCTTACTCATTGAATTTAAAATATAGTTAATAAAAATTCAAATTATTTTTGGTTATAATTTACATCAAAAATTCATGACAAAATTTTTTATGAAGACTACTCATAATATTTGACGTATGCATTTATACGTCTATTCAATTTCATTTGAAAATAGAATGTTATGTAAGTTGAAGTACGTTTATGAATTACTCTTGCAGTGTTATAGAAAAATTCGAGGTGATTTGAATAAATTCTTAAATAAAGCTTACTCTTTTTAAAGAAAATGAGCATGTGTCGCCATGTTTTGATTTTGAACAAATCAAAAATTTTATTGCAAAATGGCAAATTTTTTGGGTTAAAAATTTCAATACCATCATATAGGATTCGAATTACTAGGTTTACTTAAAAGAAAATTTATTTGATAGACACTAGTACTGTTTGATACTAGGACGACAACAAAAAATTATAATCTTCATGTAATATGTTACTTGATTTTCTTATAACGTATCCTAGAGTTGAATATTCCAACTATACACTTTACTCACCATATTCTCACTTTTATTATTCAAATTAAAATCACCTACTCTTTAAATATTTACAATTTTTTTTTTTTAATTTTTTTTAATAGTTGAATTTATAACCATTATAAGTTTATCAGCTTAATTTTAACAGAAACTTAGACAAGAAATTAAATTTAAATTACAAATTTCATATTGACTGATTGTAATAATCACCAGTTATCAAACAATATGATCGGAGGGCCTGAGTTTAATACCCGATCTAACTTTTATGATTTTTGTCAGGTTGTAATACTTGCAAGTATTAAAAGAATGTTTTTAATTTTGTAACTTACACACTTCAGAGCACTGTAACTGCATTATAATTCCATAGCCATAATAAACTTAATAATTACTTTACTCACCGCAACACAGGATCATTAAAATATTCTACGATCAAAACCTTAAATAACAAATTCGTTATCGTTATTGATGGCCCGCTATTAGTGAAATTAAGCGCACCCCTGTTTTAATTAAAGCTTAATTTATCCTAGATTTTTATAAAAATTTCAAAAATGTCATTTTTAATAAAATTTTTTTTTTTAATTTTTGACATTTAATCATATTTGAAATGTATAATTAAAAATTGTAATCTTTTGCGTACATCTTGTTAAAAATTAATATTGTGAATTTGAAATTTTTCGCGTGAATTTTCGTTTATTATTAAGTAAGAACGATTGATGTAATATTCTTTTTTAAAATTTTTATATTTTTTTTTTTTAATTACAAAATTTTAAATATTTTTTTTAAAGTGTCAGTCGAATCAAATTATTTGACAGTATTTTACGAATACAATATTGATGATAATTTAATTGACAATAAATTAAGGTTATGTCTTTGAAAAAAATTTCCTAGTTAATGGAAATTTGTAATAATTTCGTAAGAAAAGCCGGTATTTTTAGTAAATTTACGTAATTGAGTAAATTAAAAAAAAAATAATTTTTAGTAATGAAAGCATCCGGATTTTGCGTAATTACGATCACTACACAATTTATGACAATATTGTTGTCAATAATGGCATTTCAAAATTTTACGATATTTAAAAATACCATAATATTATTAAATGCGAATCAAACCAATATAGCTAAAATAGAAGCCGTCATAGTTAGTAGTTTATTTATTAGATGGAACAACCATTCTTTTCCTTTCAAAGATTTTTTTTAAAATTTGAAAATTCGTTCCCGTATCGCAGTTTGATCAGCCTCAAAGCAAATGAAAATGTGAAAATGCCTACTTCTCTAAAGGAATATTCCAAATAATTCAAGTAAATTCCATAAGATCTTCTTGTATACTGACAAACTTAGTATAATTAGCATCTCTTTTATAAAAATTTCATTCATCTTATATTCAAATACATATATATATATGTATTATATTTTATTACTTGTGACCCTAAAATAATAAACAAGTTGTAAAAATTTACTACTTAATTTTTAATATATAAAAAATAAATATCTTAATATATTTTATTTTAATTTTAATAGTGGGTGGCAATTTAATAGCTTAAAAAGATCGGCAATATTATAAAATTCATAAAAACATCTCTTAATATTTGCAACACTAATAAAATCTATAAAATGTCCTTCAACATTTTCTAATGAATTTTGTGAATAAAAAAAATTTTTAAATTATTTTATAAAAATTTTTATTCCTCTTGATTGACACCAATCTAATGTAGAGTCAAGTACTTTAATATATAACTGTATTTTATTTTAATCTTATCTTATTTCCATTAGTGTTTTAAAAGCCTTTGTAGTCAACACTATTAACACATAATATTCTGCTTGCAACAATAACATTAAAAGCCTTAAAGCCAACACTATATTAAAACACAATGTTGTTGCAAGAACATTGTCTGTAATAATGCAGAAAACAACGTTCCAATATTCGATGATGTCATACTAGTAAAAGAATATTACAAAAGTTTTTAAAGTGTCAGACATTTTTTTTTAATTATGTTTTATAAAATTATTGTTATAATGCACAACAGTTACTTTCATATGCGCCAATATTGCTGAGCATAAAATTATCATTATAAAAGAGTGTTTTACTTTCAAGTGAAATTTTTTCTACAATATTTAAAGGCATCGTGGCTATCGCCATCATTGCCATCACTATGTAATAACTTATAAAATAATTATTAAAAAATTTCATAATCAAATTTTACTTACATTTTTTAATTGCAGCAAGTATTTATGGTCTAAAAACATGTGTTCATAACATTTGATATTAAAGAATATTAATAATAAAAATTATGAAAATAAAAAATTCAAATACAATCTTACAAATTGGTAATTAACTTAATTTAAAGAGGATTTGATTAGCACAAAATTATTAAACGGCCTGACTAATAAATTTTACTTTGTTGTATAACTCATCTTTTTTTTTGTTAAAACAGTGTGACTTATAGAAAATGCCTAATGTTCTTGAAATTCTCACACTTAAAATTACTCAGAATTATATGTAGCCCCTAATAACAGAACTGGTCTATACACTGCTCTGAATTTTATTAAAGTTTTACAGGATTGTCGAGCAGCAAATCGCTCCCATAGTAAAATAAGATTTTCTATTCTAGGTCGTCATGCTAAATAAGTTTTCAGCTTGTACTCGTAATTTCAATAATGTTCAAGACGATATGAAAACTTGTGTATTTCGCCTTCTCATCACAACAACTATGCAGGGCAAATTTCTGTCGAAAAGTATAAATTTGTTGGACTTTATAGTTAAGAGATTGTTGATAATACTTACGGATCATTGGCTAACAATAGTTTTTAAGAATCAGGAGGAGTCTTCTCTTGAGTGTAAGACTTGGAGCGTCGACTTGAGCTGAAATCGCCTAAAAAACTCATGAGGTGAAATTCTGGAATAAAGTTCTAACCACGGAAGCTTTGTAACTACACAAAGAACTTCAACACTTGTGTAAATTAATACTTTAAAATCACTTAAAAGATGTATTACACTATGTAGTTGTGAATTATAAATTAATTAATATTTTTGGTAATATTGTTTGAAAATTAAAAAACTGTGAGAGTTCTAAATTCTAAGAGAACCTTATATACAAGGCTTTTCATTGTTTTCAACCGTATGAAAATAAGCTGCTATATTTGGCGCACAAAATTTGTTTGAATGCAACGAAATGGAATCGACAATAATATTGCTATTAAGAATGCAACTGTTTGAAGTTAGACAAAGATTTCTAAGTGACTCTGTAAAAAGTTCTTAATTAAAAGCGATAAAAGCTGGTTTTTATTTTTTTGCAAATGCATTCTCAATTAATAAAATCCGAAAATTATAGATCAACTTTAGATTTTTTGATATTTATAATTGGCGTATAAAAACTGAAGATGCATTCAAACTTTTAGTCATTTGAAATTTGATTAACCAGTCATGAAGAGACTTAATTTGGTAAGAGATTCAAAAAAAAAGGAGACAATAATAAAAATTTAAAATTTCATCTTTGTAGATTTTTACTGTACTTTTAAGTTTTTATTTTTGTGCAATCAATGCTCAAAATGATGGTAGATATAGACCTCCATCTACACCACGATCCTTATTAACGATTCCTAGAAACAGAGGATTAGCTGATGGAAGATACCGTGGTGGTGGTGATGGTAAATATCGTGGTGGCAATGATGGTCGTTATGTTCCTGATGATTTAGGAAAATATACCCATAAAGATAATCCAGGTGGACAGTATTCTGGAGGTGGTGGACAATACACTGGAGATGGTGGACAATATAGTGGAGGAGGTGGACAATACAATGGAGATGGTAATAATGGTGGTTCAACTAATGAAACATCTCCTCCTACTCGAAAACCTACTACTACTACTACAACTACAACATTAAAACCAAGAGTTGTAGTTCCAGTTGCAAGTGATCAAGGTGGTTGGAAAATAATACAGGATGTAAGGGAAGAAAATGAAGATGGCTATCATTATTTGTAAGTTTTTATTTTAATTTTTTTATTTTTGAAATTTTTTGCATACGTTTAGGCGAATGCTATATAACAAAATCAAAGAAAAAAATTTACGATAATAGTAGAACGTAATTAATTTTTTTTGCATACTATTAGGATAACAATAAAAAAAAATATTATTTCTTTTAATTTCTTTAATAGGTTTGAAACAGAAAATAAAATTTTAGCAGAAGAACGAGGTCAAATTGAAAAATTAACAGAAGATGATGGTTTACGTTCAACTGGATTTTATGAATATGTTGGTGATGATGGACAAGTTTATCGTGTTGATTATGTTGCTGATGATAATGGTTTTATACCAAGAGGTGATCATATTCCAACAACTCCACCACATGTTATAAAATTACTTGAATATTTGGCATCACAAAATAAGCTTTAATGTTTTAAAATATTAAAAATTTTGTTTGGCAGATTGATTTGAAAAAAAAACCGTATTTAATATATAACAAAATGCTACGTATAACAACAAATTTAAAAATTGATGTATAACAATTATAATTGTTATAAAATTTATTAGAATAAAAATTATTTACTAGTCAATCATTACATTTTTTATTATTATACAAATTGTGAATAGTTTAAGGGAATATGATGAGAAATTTTAAATTATTTACTGTTGGAACTTCTATTAGGTAAAGGCATTGTTTAAAAAATTGCATGAAGGTCCAATATTCATAAACATTAAAAAAATAGGTTGGTATTATAAAAATAGATGGTATATAGTAAATATAGGAACTCTATAATATTTTTGAACTCTAATTAAGTCAATCAATTTTAGTAATATCAAGCTAAATAATATAAATCGGAAGATAATACTTAAATATTCAGTGAGTGCAGGTATTATTTAAAATGTCACTGCTGTCCGTTTTTGGATGGAACTGAATAATAATGAGCTTAGTTATTATTCGATTCCGTCCACTGTTCTCTTTCCGGGTTTACTTCTTGGATATTATTCTTGATCGTCTTGAATATATTTTCGTAGTTAAGCTTCAATTTTGACGATATTTTCCCCTCTTAGAGATTGCTTAAAATTATTTTTCAATTCTGTGATCTCATTTGATATTTATTGAGCTTTTAAATTTTGTAAATAATTACAATAACATATGCTAACCCAAATTTAATTCACGCAAACATATTTTCGATATATTTTCCATTGTGTAATCAAATTTTCATATGAAGTTCATTCAGGATAGAAATCTTTATTAATTTTATTAATTTTTCATTAAAGTCGCGTTCCAGATACACATTATAACCAATTTTATCTATTTATTATTCAATTTGCCTTTAAAACAGACTCATATATATTTCCATATTTTGAAATTTTTGAAAATAATTTGTCTTTCTCAGAATCAGGCACACATATTAAGTACAGTTTTGATATCCTGAGCATGACTTCATATAATTCATTATAATTTTTGCTATTGCAGTTTAATTATTCTATTTAATTTTTATTAAATAAATTTTGTAAATTATGGTAATAAATATATTAAATATATTAAATAATACTATTGACTTTAAATTTATTTTAGTCTAAATTATAAATACGCTACATTATTTTCCAACAATAGCTATTGTACGAATAAGTTAAAATTAATACAAAAACCTATACATTATAATTTTATAATATTTATTACTCTAATATTCTTAATAAAATGTTATTTACAATTATTATCTATGTATTTTACCTATAATTACTATAGTTAATTATATCCTAACTAGCATTGAAATTTTGTTATTATAATTGAAATCATTGATTCAATGAATCGTTCATTCTGTCATTGACATAAAGCCGATAAGATTTTTTTCCTGTCATTTAATAAAATTTATTATTAAAATTTATTACAAAAAAATTCGTTTGTGGGTTTGTTAACAATTTAAAATACATTTTTATATTTTACATATTTTTTAATTAGATTTAATTTATATTATTATTAAATCATTAATGTTTATTTTTCTAGTCATAATTTTTTAGTCATAATTTTAAATTCTATGTATTTTATATCATTTGTAATTAAAATTCTGTAAATAAATTCTACATCTGTTTTTCTATTTAAATTGAATGTATATGACAAAATTTATAGGCTGATTTTTTTTTTTAATAAATAAAGCAGCTTAGCAGCTATGTTAAGAATATTATTAAATAATTACAAAATAAATATTGAATTTATTTGTAATTAGAATAATAGTAACAAAATGTAAAAAAAAGACAACAGGAATTTCAATATTTTACAAAATATGAAGTTGTGACAACATTTTTTTACGTTATTGAATTACTGAGAAAACTTTGTAGGCGGTTGCTTCAAGTACAAAAACCGAAAAATTTATTTGGGCTGCATACTCAATATTAAGAGTAAATTTTTTGCATTTTTAATTGTGTAACTATGCTAATTACAAGTAATTTACTGTTTGTTTACCTTATTAATTGCATATCGGCGCATATTGTGTGAAATTTTAAGCAATAGAATATCGGATAAAATTATTGCCTTTATCAATATACAAATTGGTTAAAAAATTGAATTCAAATTCATATCAATAAATAATTGACTGTATAATACGTATATTAGATATAATGAGTAAAATAAGCAAACTATTTTGAAAACACGGATTCGAATGTCAAATCTAAATCCAAGAAATTGAGATTCAGAAAAATTGTTTTCATTTAGTTTTAATAGTTTTAAGGCCAAATTAATTAAATATTTGTCTTTTTTCTTTGTGTGAAATCTTAGTGATCCGTGTAAATTAAAAAATAATGTTTACCGCAAAATTCCAATATTTTCACAGCATTTTAGACTTAATTCTTAATCATTTTAAGATAAAAACTATAAGAGTCAAGATGGAAGCGGTAACAAAAGAGTTTAAGACTCAATTTGGTATCAAAATATTTTAAAATAATTTGAAATTAATGAAACTTTAACCGCCTAGCATCCGTTTCAGAAAAGACACTCTCTGAAACTCAAACAATTTCTTATAATCATGAATCATATTTATTCTTTAAAATACTTTTCAATAATTCTCAGTAAAAAAAAAATTCTTCAGTTTTAGCCACTTATTCGCCCCTTAACCAGCACAATAAACACATCTTTACAAGCTGCTTTAATCTTGTATTTCTCGCAATCTTAAATTCTAAATTCAATTATATTCTTTAAAAGTAATTAAAGCTTGTCATTCTAAATTTTCAATACAAATTCCAAGTGAATGAATCCGATTACATTATGTAACATTTATATTCTCTTCAACAATTAAAACATTTAAATAATATAATCATAATATTAATAGATAATCCTCCTCCTACATTTTATTTTTTTTTTATAATTCTAAAAAAAAATTATTAAAATCATTAAAATTATTTCAAAAAATCTTGAAATTATCTTTTTTTAATTGCCTGATTATTTTTTTTTTTTAATACTTTATTTAGTCATATGTAACAAGTACAATTTGCACCTTGAGAACAATACCGCAACATCTCAAAATTGTTATTTTTTTTTTAACTAGACATGTAGTTGAATACGTGAAATATTTCTCTATATATTTTGGCCCATTTCACGTTACAATGTATCAAAAATTGCCGCTTTTATTCAAAATTTTCTAAGGTTAATTTTCGGCTTTTTCTTAAAGTATGTTTTTTATTTTTAATTTAATATCGTAATATTTTACGATATCACCCAAATTCAAAAAATATTTTAATTTAATACCAAAAATTACACGGTTTTCTTAGAAATAGTAAACGGTTTTCTTAAATCAGTTCCAGTAACATTTCCATTTACACCAATTTTATGAAAAGAAATTGAAATTTAAACTGCAATAATTGAAAATATTGCAGTTATGCAATTTATTAAAATAAAATATTTTCACCGCAATATTTCATTTAATTTTTTTAATTTTACATAATTTTAAAACGAAATGTTTCCGTCTTTAATATTCTATATAAAAATATCGTAATTTTAAATTCAATTTTCTAGAAATTATAAATTTAAAGATGTTGCGATATTATTTTAAGGGTGCGAATTAATAGTGAACATATACTTAAGCCTATTATGAATACAATATTAACTATAATCTTAAGAATTAACAATAAAAATTCTACAAATGCCTTAATAAAATAAAATTTTTTTAAAATTATCGTAAATTTTTTTTATCAAATACTCATTCGAAAGCAATTTTAAGCGGGATTTTTTAAAATGTTCAATAATTTTATTAGAATATTTGAGAAAAAAATAAATTGCTTGTTTCTGTTGCCTGCTTAAGAATTATTAAATTCTTTTATTTTATTTTAAAATGATTAAAGAATGCAGTAATTGCGGCTCGCTACCAGAACAATTTTGTAAAATGCAAAATATTTAGATAAAATTCACACCATGGCGCTCCAACTAGTTGACTAACTTATATTCTAAACTTGTTTATAAATCACAATACTTAAAATGAATACTTAAAAATAAGAAAGAAAAAAATTTTTTAGAATTTCTTAATTAAAAATAATTTAATAATCGATTTTAGTGACCTTAACAATCGTTTAACAAAAACGATTATTAAATTTCAAAATCTATCTAGACGGTATTTATCTTGTATACATGTAAGTATGTATGTAATTCTCGTAGTTTATGCAAAAAAAATTTTTAAAATTTTCGCAACTAAGTATAGAATTTTTCAATAATATTTCAATGCAAATTGGTTTATAAATCGTATAAAATGTAAATATGAGTTGGAAATTAGAAATTTTTATTATTTAAATTTCTATTTAGCTATTCTAATTTTCTAATTAGGAAATTTCATTATTTAAAATAATTTTTATTAATCAGTTTGAATTTGATTTTAAAACAAGCCACAACAATATTATTGTAATTAAATATTCTAAGAATAAAGAATAAAATGAAATTGTGATCTAGCTATGAAAGATTCTTTTGTGAAAAAAATTAATGTGCTAGTACTGAAAATTAAAATTTCTTAAAAATTACAGTGATTAATAATATTTTTCGAAAAATTGTTGAAAAATCTATTACTTAAATAATCTATTATTAAAAATATTTCAAAAATATCAAGTAATTTGAAAAAAATTGTGTAAATTTCCTAAAACTAAGACAGTATAACAGTGTTATTATTTTATATACTAATTTTTTAATAAAATATTCTAGGAGCAGTTTTCTTAATAATTTTGTTCTAATATTGTGTTAAGCCATTAAATTGCAATTATTGTAAAACTTAAAATTTTAAAATGAATATTAATATTGTAATTATTATATATTGTAAAATAATAAACAGCATTCTGTTATAACTATCGCCAAACTTAAATCCGATTATATTTTCCATTCTTTCAAAATCCTTAACCTAAAAGTAAAAAATTTTCAATAATATTTACTTTCGTTATTATATTAATTACCTATGATATAGCTAGTACATCTCTCCATAATTTGAAAGGTCCTGCAGCAAAAAACAATTTTAATAATACAACCCAATTTTTTCAAGTAGTTGAATCCTATAAGTATGCAATTTTTAAAAATTGAAGTTTTTTTAAAATAGCGAATTATTTTTAATAGAAATTAATTATTTATTAAAATA